AGAACCTACTCCAGGCCAGCCAAGTTCCAGGCCCTGGGGATACAGAGGTGAGCAGAGCCAGGTGCCTGTCCCTGCAAAACAGATCACACTCAAGTGAACATGTTCATGGACAGAATCACCCCAGGGAGCCAGAACTAAGCCAGACTGTAAGGGGGGGAGGGTTGCTCTCTTGTAGGGGCCTCTGAAAGGCTGACAATGGAGACAGAACCTAGCATCTGGAATATCCAGCAGGAGACCCTGGGGGCCAGCGGGAGTACTGCGAAGACCCGAAAGCAGCTTCCAGCTCACCTGGCTGACCTTCCCCACACAGCCACGCCTGTGGCTTATGCTTCTGCATAAGTCACTGCAGACTTTATGTCCCAACCCCAACCCCAACCCTCAGGGCCAGAGGGCAAGGAGAGGGTCCCATTCAGGGCAGCGCCTGGCAGGCCGCAGTGCAGACTGTGGAAACAGAGGCCCAGAGCACAGGAAGTCTCCACCAAGGTCAAGAACCTACTTTAGACAGATTTCAGTATGACCTCGTTGAGCACCCACCAGGTGCTCCACGTTGGCCTCAGGGAAGAGAGACAGGAGGGGGAGCTTCTCCGAGGCAAGGTCAGAGTCAGGGTCAGCTTTGCATCCTTTGCCCGGCCAGGGGCCACTCTGCCTCCATCCCAACCTGGTGGCCCTGAAATTAGATAAAAATCCTCAGGGTTCCTGTCACATCCACCTCCCAGCTGGGTCTCTTTGCTCCAGAGAGAGAGCCTAACAGGGCAGAGGAGCAAAGCCATGAACATTCAGGAAAGATAGAGAGTAGGGCTTCCCTCTGGCCCCCAGAGCTCAAGCACCCAGCGCCCTCTCTTCTGCTTGCTCACCCCAAGTTCACCGCCGGGAGTGACACCTCGTAACAGACTGGGCCCACCCTGCGCCCAGCACTGGGGTGGGGAACAGGGGCGTGGCTAGATGTCTGAGAAGTTGGATACCTTGGAATGTGCCCTCGCCCCTTCCACGGTGTAAATTCCCAACGTGTCAGATGCGAAATTTCCAGCTCAGGCCCAGGGCCAGGGAAGAAGGGGGAGTCAGCAGCTGTGGGAACATCTGGTCCATCACAGGGAGCAGAGAACAGAACAGGGTCAGTGCAGAGCTGATGGGGGGGTGACGAGGCAAACAGGGAGGGGGCACTGCGAAGAAGCTTACAAACAAACCAATACTGCAGACAGTGGCTGGCAGGGAAGGCACTGCATGGCAGTCAGAGGAGAGCACGTCTGTCCCAGATTAGACACAAGTTCACCAACGGGCCCTCTGACACTGGCTGAATGTCCACCTCCCCAGCTGTAAAGGGAGGGGGCCTGCACCATCTCCAATAACTCTTCCAGTCATTTTGTTTTGTTTTCTTTTGTCTTGTTTTTCAATAAAGGAAGGTCTCTAAGTACTGTCCTCAAGAAAACTGGACACTGACAAATTACTGAGCTCCTACTACATGCTGGGCTTCCCCAGGGGCTGGCTGTGTCCTGGAAAAGAAGACGAGGCCTCTGCTCTTGGGGTGGGTGATGTTGCAGGTGAGCATATGTAATTCTCACCACCAGGCTGTGGGAGGGGTATGATGGTCCCCATCTTACAGACCAGGAGACAGACTCAGAGTGGTGACTGCTCAAGGTCCCCTGGCCAGAGTCAGAGGCCAGGCTCCAGGCCGGTTTTCTGGCCCCAAAGTAGCACTCTTTCCACCCCGTCCCCATCACTTGCCATCCAAGCAGGGCTGTGGGCAGCTTACCCCTCTGAGGCTTGGGAAGAGCTCCCCAGAGGGAGCCTAATATGGACACACACGGCCCCCAGGCTCAGAGGGAGGCCGCATCATTAGTGCCTTGGTTCATGTCCCAACAAGCTGGGGAGAGGGTCCAGGCCTGGAATGTCATGACGCCTCACCAGCGCTCCTTCCAGAACAACCGGCTGCCTCTGCTCCAATAAGGCCCCAAGGCATTCAGAAGGGCAGGACTGACTCGTCCCTTCTCTGAATCCAAAGCTCAGCAATGTTGTGATTCTGTCCAGATCATCCAGCCCACAAACATTGCTGGACCAGGGACATAGTGAGGAGGGAGACACACGAGTCCCCTGTGCTGGGGAGGAGCACATGTCCTCGGATCCCCAGGAAAGCCCAGACAGTGCTGCATACCCAGGAGAAAGTGCGGCAGGCCTGGGATGTGGACGGCAGGGGTGCTGGGGGCAGGTGACTGAGCTGAGAAGGAGAGGGGCTGGCACAGGCACAGCAGGAGAGCTGTCAGCAGAGTGGGGAGCACTGTGCCCCAGCCCAGCCCGGAGCAGCTGGGCCTCCCGGGGAGGAAGGCGCTGGGCTTGATGTGTGTTCGCAGACGGCTGCGAAGCATCCGGCCAGGGGGTTTCAGGCAGGGGAGGGAGGCCGGTGGTGTTCGTCCAGCCATCGCTCTGCCCGCTGGGAGGACAGGTGCAGGAAGCTCCTCGGGTCATGACTGTCCAGGACCAGAGAGAGGCTGCAGTGCCTGGGCACGGGCCGGCAGCGACCGAGGAGGGGGCAGTGGAGGGAAACCCACTTCTGGGTGTCTCCCATCTCCTGTGCTCACCCACCTCTGTAACCCGCGGCAGGGACTCGGGGACTCCGATGCAAGGGAAAGACGGTCAAGTGTGGAGAGCAAAGGAGAGCTTCAATCAGGCATCCAGTCTGACCCCCGCGTGCAAGGGAGTCTCCCGAGGCCACAGGGGCAGTGTCTGCAGTGCCCACTGAGCTGGCGAAGGGCACAGGAGGCAGCGGGGCATGAACGCTGATGGAGGCATTGGCCTGGGAGCTGGGCCACACGTGGACGCTGGGGCTCAGCGCCCAGCCTCAAGGTGCATGGAATAAATATTAAACCCTCTTGAGGGACTGTAACACCTGATTCTTCACAACACCAAGATCCTAAGGCAGCCATCCGCCCTCCTCAGCTCTGTGCAGGGCACTGGGATCAGATGGAATCTGACCTGGTCCCACTCCTAAAGCACTCACCATCTGATGGGGGAGGCATACGGGTAAACAAACAGTGACATCAGGGAAACACAAGCTCCCAAGGAGGTGTCTGGGGGCCAAAGGAAGGGGGAGCCGCCGTCCAGGGCTGCTTGGGGGGCCGCCCTTCAACCCATCCTTCCAGGTGACAGTAGCAACAGTAACTGACATTACCACTTGTGAGCCTCCTCTGCGCCAGGCACTGTCCCAGACGGAGGAACTCACTGAACCTCTGACCTCTGTGAAGGGCAAGTAGTATTTTCCCCAACTTAAAGATGAGGAAGGTCGATTGTGGTGACCGGGGTGGGGGGCGGGGTAGAGGGTGGGAAGGGGTAGACGGGGGTTTCAAAACTGTAGAATAGATAAACAAGATTACACTGTATAGCACAGGGAAATATACACAAAATGTTA